TCAAAATTGACAAGTGATTGAAAAGCGATGTTTTGCCTGCCGTGTCTTGCCTTTTTATTTCGTGAGTCGGACGACGAAGCGTGCCCTGTCGCCCAAACTCAATTTGGTGTGTCCCGCACCATCGGCCGTGACACGCCTTATTTGGTCTTTCATGGCCGACGCACGGCCGATTCAACATGTTGAGTCGTGCGTCGGCCACAGGCAGTCGGACAAACAAATCACTCTGATTGGCTGTTCAGCTAGCGAATCAGTGCATGAGAAGCGAAACGGTTGCTTGAGAATGTCTTCCAAAAGCAACACTCCAATGGCTGATAGCTCCAGTACCGCACGAAACATGTTTTCGATGGACGAGAGTGAAAATGGAACGCACACGCTATTTGTTGTTTGTTTATATCACGCAGTCTGTTCTTCTTCTCTGTCTTCCGGTTGTTGCCTCTTTTGAATGACGAATACACACTACCGCCGCCTGCTGGTAAGGAGAGTTATTGCCACTCATGCATGCGCAGTTCGTACGTGCTCGGCTGAAGTCCTTGCGGTGTGTTCCAGTGCGACACATGGCCAAGACGCAGGAGAACACGGCGACGCAACAGTCGGCGTCGGCGAGTTCTCTGGTGACTGCTTGGTGTGTCAGGGCCTTTACCCATAATGACCAAGTCGCTGCAAATTATCCCACTTATTACAAGGCCACATTCTCAACAAAGTTACGACATGACTCCCAATATTAATTTAAATGCTTTTATTGAATTAGAAAATGTTTTTATTGTTTTAAAAAATAGTATTATTGATTTAAAAAATAGTTTTATTGATTTAAAATGACATGTATCTGCTAAGAAAAATAGTCCGTTGTTACCGTTTGAACTACGTAGCAACGGCAGGAACTGCTTCGATAGCGTTTTGTTTTTTGATTACAGATTTGAAAACATCGTTGCTTGCTTTAAAAGTAGCATAATTCATTATGTTAAACCTTGGAAAGTATCTGGATATCCCTACATTAATGCCAAAGTAACTGGCAACTGAATATGTTTTGCCGTTTGATGTCTGGAACGTTGAGTAAAAAGGCCCGCAGCTCCGTGTTGCCCCGTTACTTCTCCGCTGTTTTCTTGTCCCTCTTGTCTTTTTATTTTCTTCGCTGGGGACTCATCAGCCACTAACCATTCATCCAAATGACTGCTCTCCAAATATATTAAAATTAATATTAAAATCCTCCATGTTGCTCTCAGACGGTAGACCAGCAAACAGTCGGCCAAACTGTATACAGTTAAATCGACCGGACTTAGTTCTTTCTGCAGATGTGAGCGTCCTTAACAACGGTCAATAAATCCTTGACAGCGGTCTGTACTATGGATTAACAACGTGTCACGTGTTCTGAATTGACCAATCAGAATCGAGTATTCAACTAAGCCATGTAATAAAAAGACATAAATGACATAAATAACATATTAAAGTATTGAGACCATAGGAAAATGTTGGGACATTTATTTAAAAAAGGAATGTTTTTACATAAAAATAAATTATTGCACCATACAATTGCTATAGTGTTTCACGTACAACCACTTTTGAGTAGGAAGAACAGTGGTTAACAGCATTAACTTGGTTTTCTATCCAAAGGCCATCGGAGGGGTCTGCTACCAGGCTTTCTACCAGAGGGTTCTGTCCACAGCCACTGATGCCCAGGCGAAGATCACCTGCTACGCTGCTGCTGTATTTTGCCCAATTCTTGGCATCCCTTCAATCCTCATAGGAGCAGTGGCTGCATCTACCAGTACCTACATTTAACCTTTCTCCTTTTCTATTCGCTATATCACATCATATAAAACCTTGCTACCAGCAGGGGGAGAAGAAGTCAAAGATTCAAAGGTTTAATTGTCATATGCACATAACCTAGGGCTGCACGATATTGAAAAAAACTGACATTGCGATATTTTTTACACCTGCGATATATATTGTGATATGAAAAAATACAGGAATTTAAGAAAATAAAAATGCTTGTCCGCAAACCATCCTTCCTTAAACTTTAATGCTATACAATTGGTATTTTTATAACTACTGTATATTTAACCGGATGAAGGATTTTAGTCACGGGTAAAGCTAAATGTACTTAAAGCTTATAAATATATTTAAATAAAATGACGCGTTTGTGACGTCCACTAGTTTAATTTTTTAGAGATGTACAAAAACAAGATTAAAATGACATGATTTGTCTTTGAAATGTAATGGAGTAGAAGTATCAGCATGGGTACTTTTGGGTTATCTGTCGCCACTTTTTTTCCAGACTCTCTAAATACACACTTTTATTGTTTTTTTCAGAGGAGGGTTAGGGTTAGGGTTAAATTGAAAAGTGGCGACAGATAACCCACAAGTACCGTAGCATGAAATGGAAATACTTGCAAGGGTGGTTCTAGGGTTTATTACGATGTATTGGAACTAAATCAAATCAGAGACCCGGATGTACAGTGGAGATTAAACTGTTCATTACCTTATAAAAAAGCAAATGCTTTTTATGTTTTTTAATTAAATTGTCATTTAAAGTTACTAAAACAAATACTCTAAGTGAAAAAACTACTGAAACAAAGAACTGTAACTTAAATGTACTAAAACAAATACCAATTACTGTATGCTGTGTTTATTTTACACAATTACTTTATACTGTCTTTGTATTTTAACCCGCTTTTATTGTGTGAAATAACTGGCCTCAGCCTGGCCAAGTGAAATTGGTCTAGAACCGCCACTGAATACTTGAGTAAATGTACTTCCCACCTCTGCTTGCAACTCATGTTTCTGTTGTGATTACATGTGCCTAATTTCTGGCAGACTGGAACCAGACCAGCTACGGTTCCCCCAGCCCGTATGAAGAGGGCAAAGCTGGCATGATCCTCCCCATCGCCCTCCAGCATCTCTGCCCTTTCTACGTCTCTCTGCTCGGTATGGGAGCTCTGGCTGCTGCCGTGATGTCGTCCGTCGACTCGGCTCTTCTGTCTGCCGCCTCCCAACTGGGCCGAAACATCTTCAAGAACATCATCTACAAAGGGGTAACTTTTTATATGATATGGCCTACTGTGGCATTTAAATGAAAGACTTAGAGTTTAAGACATGCTCTGTGAGGGCGTATCTGCACCGCAAGGCTTTGAGCATAATTATAAATGGATGCTGACACGCTAAAGGGCAAACATTCTGTAAAGCAGGTATTATGTATACCATGTGACCCTCTTGTTAGCTAACATTTGCTAACATTAAATGCAGCTAGGGTTAATGGAAAGGTCATTCGATTAGCAGACAAATGGCTGAACAGCTCGGGGGGTTAGTTATTTAATCATCACTCAATGTTCTTTGTGTATCTGTGGAGTGATGAGGCCCGAGCCTAGACGCCAAACTCAACTATATGCTGATGTTAAAGAAACACGTGAGTTGTCTGACTGAAATACTTTAATGTGACATTCTTGTAGCCTACATATGCTGATAGCTTAGTTAGTCCTGAAGAGAAATATCACTTTATGTTACGCTCCATTATTTAAAAAGGACCCCAAACTAGTGACTGATTTAGGTCAAGTTTTCACGGTGTTTAATAAAAGAAATGCAAACAAAAAGGCAGGCAGTGATGGCTACGAAGCTAGCTGGTTAGCAGAGAGTTGTCCAAGGAAAAAACACTGGAGAGAATCAAGGCTCCAGGCTGCAGAAACACTCTGGTTTAAAAAATATAGTAAAAAAATGGCAGTATTTACATTGAATATGCATGGTTGTAATCCTAGAAATATAAATAAATAAAATAGTACCCACTATATTCTACTATAGAATAGTACCCAATGTCCAAAAACATGATCTCCTCTATTTCAGGCGTCAGAGAAACTGATTGTCATGGCGGTGAAAGTGTCGGTGGTGCTGTGTGGGACAGCTGGAGCCGGTCTGGCCATGATGACCTCGTCCGTCCACTTGTTCTGGGTCATCAGCTCAGACGTGCTGTACTGTATGATGGCTCCTCAGGTGATTTGCGTCTTCTACCTGTCTCGCTGGGTGAATTACTTGGGGGCCTGCTTTGGTTTCCTGGTGGCTATCCTGCTGAGGATTCTGATTGGAGAACCTGTGATCGGCCTTCCTGACCTGATGCCTCTGCCCTGGGACAAGATCCAGGACGATGGTACCCGATACCGTTTGTTCCCTTTTCGAACCGCAATCCTGCTCATCACCCTCGGGACTATTTTCCTAGTGTCACGCCTCGCTGAGTGCCTGTTTGAGAAGAGGAAGCTGGGAAGTGAGGATGAAACAGACGCTACCTGTCAGGAGATGAAACCGATGAATAAAGAACAGACGAACACATCTTCAGATTGAGAAACACATAGAACAGGGGTGTCCAAACATTTTTCACTAAGGGAAAAATATTCGAAGCTCACTAGAGGCGAGGTATACTGCCTCATAAGTTAAGTTATAAGTTAGCAAAATCTATCAAAAGTATGTAAATGATGCTTGGTACTTGAATCTGCTTTAAGGAAAATAAACAGCCTCCATCATTCCTTAGGACACATGTGTCAAACTCAAGGCCCGGGGGCCAAATCAGGCCCTTGGTGGATTTAATTTCGGCCCGCAGATCTGGCCCGCCGGTATATTGTACACACACCTTCACTCCATCCTGAGGGTCTCCTCAGCTCAGAGCCTGACCCCAAACATTGATGACCTTGCACCCAAGATGAGATGCCAAGTATCTGCTTGAACTAGCATCACAGAGCAGCACACTGAGTTTCAATGGATGTTTCCCCCCTGCACTTTTTTTCTCACGACAACAGGGCATGTTTGGTTTTTTAGCCAAAGGGAAATCGTTTTGTTGAAGCTGTTGTTGGCCTGTGGAAAAATGTAATCATAAGAAATGACTCTGGAAAAGCTGCAGATAGAGCCATAAGAAATGAATGAACTGATCATTTAATGTTTAATGTTGTTTTTATAGGCAATCATTTAACCTTTGTTAGTTCCAGGTTTAATATGTGCAATAAGTTCATTTCAATAAGTTTTGCAATACACATTGAACCAGTCCGGCCCTCGACTAGTACCCATTTTTTTATTTCGGCCCACTGTGTATTTGAGTTTGACACCCCTGCCTTTGGAAATAGGAAGGGTATATTTCTAGTTATTGGGCTTTTTTCGACTTTGAAAATATTTTCAAATGTAATTGACTGAATTTATTGCAAATTGGGCTTATTAACACATGAACACCACTGTGTCATTTATGTTTACAGATATATTTAATAAGTACAATTCAAGAAAAGCTCAAGTTTCATTTGTGGGCCGTATTCCATTATACTTTTTGAATGTCCCGCGGGCCGCATTTGGCCCCCGGGCCGTAGTTTGGACACCCCTGATGTATCT